CCCGCCCCGCCGCCCCTACGTGGATAACGAGATGAGGAGGGTTGTGGCCTCGACCCGGGCCTAACCCAACTGGAGCCGGGCTGGCGAGGCGAGGTGGACGCTGCTGAGTGCTCTCGCATTGCTGCCTGCTGCGGTTTTGCGTGGACGCCGCACACAGGGGGGTATTTTAGGAGTGAAAAGGGCGCCCTCTTGCAGTCTGAAAGCTTGAGTATAGTGTCCAGACTGTACGACCGCTCCAGCCAAGTCTCCGGGTCCCGTCGAACTAGCTAGCAAAGGCTGTTTCGCCAAAGCTTACAAGTGCGGACATTTAAGAACTAATCGCGCAGAACTTCGTTAGCTTCAGTCGAAGTTCAGTTTTATTTGAACCAAGTGCGGAGTAGTTCACCGATGCACGATCTCAATGGCGTAGCCCTTTCTGGGCGGCTTGTGTCTTCGTCCAATGTTGCATCGGTGAACTCTGAAGCAAGAAACAGTCGGTGTTGATGTAGACCACGGTGGATGTAGACTCAACGCACCTTTCCTTGTCCACAGGCTGATGGCATGGCCGAGGAGGCCGAGGAGGACGCGGTGGTGGCGTTGCTGCTGTGGTCCGGGCGCGCCCTCCTGCTGCTGCTGCTCATCCTGGGCGCCGCCGCCAACGCCCTGGCGCTGATCGCCTTCTGCCGCGGCCCGGGACTGCGCACGCTCTCTAACCGCTTCGTTATGAACCTCCTCGTCGTCAACCTGGCGGCATGCACCCTGCTGCTGCCGCTGCTGCTGCTCGAGAGCACCAACGCCCTGGGCACGGCGAGCGGCCCGGGCAACGCCGTGCTGTGCTCCATCAGCGAGGGCGTGGCGGCCGGCTACTGCACCGCCTCCATCCTGGGCGTCCTCCTCATCGCCGGTGAGTCTCACTTCTACATTCAAATTAATGTTTTCCTGGTTTTCGTTTCCGATGGAATTAATTAGTGAAATGCAATGCATGGCTGCATCACATTGCGTAAAACAAGCACCCACAGCGACAACGTTTGATGCAGCAAAAATGTCGGTTCGTAAAATGTTTTATTCTGATGACTCCCTTCCTCCCGGGTTGCAGTGGACCAGTACTACGCAGTGGTGGACCCGCTGCGCTACCACTCCAAGGTGGACGGCGTGCGCAGCGTCGGCATGCTGGCGGCCGCCTGGCTGTGCGCGCTGCTCGCGGGCGTGCTGGGCGCGCTGGAGCCCCGCGGTGCCGGCCTGTGGGCGTCGTGCGACACGAGCCCGGTCCCCGCCGCCGTCCTGGCGAGGGCCGGCATACCTGGGGAGGATGACCTCGACAACCCCGGCACCGAGGATGCCGTCGTCGTGTCGCTGTACCGCCGCGTGTACGCCGCCGTGTTCGCCGTGCTGGTGTTCATCGTGCCTTTCGCCGCGCTGTGTTGGATCTACGTGTCCATCTCCAGCGCGGCACACCGCAATTCACAGCGGACGAGGCGCAACGGCTCAGGTACGTACGGCAGGGTGGCTGCGGCAGGCATTCGGCGAGGCACTCAGCCTGCGCAACGGCAGATAGGCAACCCTCGCGCGGTGGCGTGCGAGCGTTGCCTACACGCCAGGCGCCCGCCGGCCTGGGCCCGACTGGGCCCGACACCCCGGCGACGCTATACTAACCGACCTGCTCTGTTGCTTTCAGGTTCGGTCGCTCCGTCGACGCCTCCCCCGGAGCTGAGCTGCTCGGAGTGCGGGGTCCGCAGCGTGGGCCCCACGCCGTCCAGCACTCTGAGCGGGCACGCCGGGCACGCGCGCGCCGCCGCCGGGCCCCTCGGCCTCCCGGTCAGCCGGAGTGCGCCGGCCATGGACGCCGTGGCGGCGGAGGCGGCCGCGGGCGAGGCCGGCCACCAGCGGCAGCAGCTGCAGCTGCCGGCGAGCAGGCGGAGCTCCGTCACGTCTTCGGCCGACGACGCGGCCAGCTGCGGCGACAGCGTGTCCACGTGCGGCTTGGCGCGCACGGAGCGGCGGCGCAGCAGCTGCCCGCACGCGCACGCCGTCACCGTCACCATCTCGCCGCCGCCGCCGTTGGCCGTCAGGTCGGCGTCGGCGTGGCTCGTGTCCTCGCTGCGCTGCCGCATTTCCAACGCGTCGCTCTTTCGCTACCGCGAGGAGGGCCGCGCGGCGCGCGTCTCTGCCATCGTGGTCGTCATGGCGCTGGGCTGCTGGGCGCCGTACGTGGCGGTGCTGGTGCTGCACGCAGCGCTGCCCGCCGCCTCCCCAGCCACCTCCCGCCTGCCGCGCCACCTTGACGCGCTGGCGCTGGCCGCCCTCGCGGCCGCCGTCTGCATCTCGCCCTGCCTGTTCGCCTTCCGGAACAGGCGCGTGCAGAAGGAGGTAGGTTGGTCGTGCTTGAGGGAGTGTGGCACGCACGACTCGCGACGACTCCGGTGTGCTGACCGTGTTGTTGATTACTCCAGGTCCGCCGCGTGCTGTGCCCGCGGGGACGCAAAGGCTCGCTGGAGCGGGGCCGAGGCTGCAACAAGAACAAAAGTCGCCACGGGTCCGCCGCTGGGGCGGGGCCAAGTGGGGGTGGCAGCGCGCGGAGGTTGCTCCCGCACAGCCTCATGGCTAGCCTGGCCGAGGACTGTAGCTCCCCGTCAGACAGGTAGGCTGTTCAACTAAGCCCGTATCATGTACCACAACGATCCGAATCAAACGGCCTTTTGACTATTGAATCTCCTCCAGCACGTCAGCACTCACTATATCCGGGATGGGTAAGGGGATGGACGACGACGCCAGCGCCCTCACTGTGTCCGTGTCGTTGCTGCCAGCGCCGCTGTGGACGCCGCACCTTCTTCCAGACGACGCCCTCGCCGTGGAGACGGCCAGGAGCTCTTTCTCCTCTGGGGCGTCCTCCTCGCAGGGCTCAGCGCTGTCCACGGACACGGCCGACGAGTAGTGGCGCACCATGGACAAGGCGGGAGAGGAGTCGCCCGAGACGTACCTGAAGCACAAACGGCACAAACCCTTTTCCACTCTGTTGGAACAGGCCGGCTACTGATATTAAGAGTTTGGTCGAGTGCACTTAGTGCAGCACTAGTGATATTAATGACTGCATTGTTCCTTCTCCACAAATTTCGCGTACTCGTCGTGTCCTCGGAAGCAGAGGAGGTATCTAATAATCGGAGTAACGAATATCTGCCATTTGCACCAGACAAATTCTTTTCTGTTTTCGTCCAGTTTAGGATTTAAAAAATCACACTGTAATTCTCTTTGCCTTTACAATGCAATAGCTAAGTAAATCTCAGAGGAATCTAAAAGACTGACAGTCTTGCCCGTTAGAGTATAAGCTGTCTACCACAAAACTCATCCATGTGGGACCACTAGTCATTTTATAATAGTGAATATAACTTACTTTACAATACTGTAAGAATTGCCTACCTACCACTTCAGTGTTAAAAGTTATACTAAATGGAGAGAGAGGCCTGTTGTTTGCAGAAAAGCCTCCATAGTGCCATACCTGACCATTGAATTGATCCGGATGTATTTTCCACTTGATATGCTTCTTTTTCAGGCTTTAACTTTGCTCTAGGACAGCTGTGTTCAAAGGTTTCAAAAGAGGACAGATCATTGGAAAATTTGTTCTGCTGTCTAGTGGCTGCCACTGAACAAGGGTCTCCCATTTTAAATACAATTAACTTGAGAATCAATGAAAACTGTGATAAATTATGTTGATATGTAAATAAGGAGGTCTTCCTCCTAAAGTGTTTTTGTTTGCTAAGCTTGTTAATAA